ACGTTGCACCTTTCTTCATCATCTCCTTTTTTTTTTTTCAAAGATAGGTTATAAAAACTGACCAAATTTACTGTTAGCATATAACATTAAATGCATTAGTTAGCAGTAAAGTTGTACATCTAAAGATGTAATCTGTCATAAGCGTTTAAGATGAAGATGAAGTTGATATATGTCGGTAACAATTGATTTTTCTATTTACTGTTTGTTTACCACGTTCCATATGAAGCTGAAAATTTACAATTATCATTTGGTTTCTTGTAGAAAACAATTGTAAAAGTCTTTTTTTTTCAAAAAACAACGATTAATAATTGATGTTAAAAATGTGAAAATTGTCTTTGTGATAATGGTTTACCATTCGTATTGTTAGGCTAAGCTGTCTTTCTCAGTACTTTCTCTAGTCTTGAAGCTTTTCTGCACAACAGCATCATAATACCACTGAATACACTAATAGCACCAACACCAGAAAATAGGTTCAGCAAATCTGTAGTAGTTTAATCACATAGAAAAAAAAAAAGAGTAGAAAAGATGATTTATTCATTTTGTTCTTGTATTTTTTTTAGCTTTTACAGTTGACATAACTAAATATTTATAAAAATATGTGATTGAAAAATGCTTCTACAATAATATATCAGAGATTAATAGAATTATTAGAAAGAAATTATTGTCTTTCATTATGCGATAGATTTAAAGGTGTTAAAAATTTAAGGACTTACAAGCCTTTTCTGAATCTAATAATTCCTGTTCATGATGATCATGTCTATTGAGAAAAAAAAAACGATCAATTAAATCCACCTGAACATATACAGTAATCTGTTTACAGAAATTTGATAACATCAGATTTCATGTTGGTTTATTTCTGGTTTTTTTTGTCCTCTCTTCTTTTGGTATTGTTGTTCAAGCAGCAAACTACTACTTTGTGGTGTAAATTATAAAGTTAATTTTAGAAGTAACTGAAGAATCAAAAAATTTTACAAGTCAAAGTTGTTGATGAATTTGGCAAGCAGATTTTTTGTCGTTATTTCTTTTGACTGTAATCAAAAACAATTACCATATCTCGTTTTTCCATGGCACTAATACTGTCAAAAGTAAAAGTCTTGATGCTCGACTCTTTATCGGTAATCAGTTTGATAGACGGAACTTTACAATCTATTTCGTCCCAAATTTGATTGCAACTGATAAAGCTAATCTGTCCTGAATTAGTTGTTGTAACAGAAGACAAATTGAAACTAATACAAA